GGGAGAAAACACCCCCTTGGCAGGACAGCCAGGACCTCCGAAGCTGGTATTTGTCTGCCTGAGACGTCCCCAAATGCCCAGTTGCAGGAGAAAGAGTAGAAACCGCAGCCCAAAGAGACACCTCAGCCACTGCAGCTGAGAACTGGCCACCAAACTATTTACATTCTGTCCAGGCACCCCGGTGCACGGCCCGGGCACACAGGCAGGCTGGGCACACCTGGCCCAGAGCAGCAGGCAGCGACGGTGCCATGGGGAAAAGAGCATTCGCCCTTTGGAAAGAACAGATGAGTGGCTCCAGAGCCCAAGACCCACGCAGACAGGATGGACAGACAGCATCAGCCCTGCCACGGGGAAGGAGGACAGGTGGAGAGCACTGGCTGGGATCGACGTCTTTTATAAATAAGCTAAAGCTAATCAAAGTTTATTCACAGGGCCAGGGCTCCAAGATGTTGCTAGACTCAAAGCCTCAAGCCTGAAGCGTGTCCCAAACCTGCTGTGGAGGCGGCTGCACAGGCTGATCCCCCCCAGGGTCAGCTTTAACAGGCTCCTGGCGAGGGCCGAGCTCCACCAACTGAAACGGAGCCTCCGCCACACGACGATCTCCAACGTCGTGCAAGAGGGAGACCCAAGAGCGCAACCGCTTCCTCCCAACGCTGCCTGCGCGCCAAACTGCAGCCAAAACCCGCCCAGGACACCAGCTGCACCCAGCAAGGGACTCTGCTCATGGCAGGTCCCTGGAGCAGTGCTCCCTGTGCAGCTCACAGGGTGCTCTCCAGCGTGTTGTAGTTGTCCTTGAAGCTCTTCAGCTCCAGGAAGTGTTTGGCACGTTTGCTCTTCTGGTTGGAAGGCAGGTAGGTGACCTGGATGGTGGCGGGGTTGGAGACTTCGGGGGAGAGGGTGAGGTCCTTCGCTGCTGACTGGTGCTGCCGCTGGCTGCTGCCTCCCCGGGCCTTGGTCCTGCAGGGAGAGGAAAGGAACCATCACAGCTGCCACCCGCCCCAGAGGAGCCACTCAACCATTGCGTCCATCTGTCCAACACCAGGCAGATCTGCCCTCAGGATGACGGCGCTCGCCATGGTTTTGAAACCCAAAGCTGGCACTTCTGCGGGTGCCACATCTGGAGCCTGTGTGAGGTCCCTGGCTCAAAGCGGCCAGCACAAGGAACGTGGACTGTGACCGAGTACCAAACCCAAAACCGCATTAACAGACGGGCTGTAAGGAGTAAGTAAACCTGGAAGGACAGACAGGCGTAAACTGCCCATGTCTCAGAGGCTGGGTTTTGCCCCAAAACCCGTCTCTGTTCACATGTCCACGACGGGCTGCTGGGGCACGAGAAGCCACCACTGCACCCCAGCTACACACCCAGGCAGTAACACTTACATGTTTGCCAGCTCGTTCAGAGCATCCTGGTACTGCAGATATTCCGGTTTCCCAAAGACCTGGACGCAAACAGAAAAGGCCTTGAAAAACCCAGCTGAGGTTACAGCATGACCTCAGTCCAGCCATCAGACTGGAGTGCAGGAACAGGCCCCTGCGCTGCTGTGGGGGTGGGGTGAAGCGGTGCTGGCACTTACCCCGGTGCCGTAGCGGGCACTCTCGTACCCATCCAGCAAGGTGTCAATCAAGGCTTTGCGGATGCCTTTGAAGGAGGTGCTGGAATTCCGCAGTTCCAGCAGATAGGCACAGAAGTTCTTCCCTATTAAAGACTTTGGGTACCGGCCCTCTGCGTGAAATGGGATTTCTGGAAAATAAAAAGGCATAATACAACCGGCTGAAGCGCAGGTCAAAACCATTGTGTTCACCCACAGACAACGTCAGAAGTTGGCGGCTAATTAAATTCCCATCACATCTGCTGCCTCTGTTTGCTGACTGCTCCCAATGTGTGAGCAAAGCAGACCCTCAGCCTGCCAGCCCCGGGCGGGATAAGTGACTGCTATTCCCAAGCAAGGACCTTGAACCTTATCATGAGGCTGCTGGCACCCTTATTTCCTCCACACACAGGCTCTCTCCACCCTTCCCCTCCCACTCCTGCCCTGAGCTCCCTTACCAGATGTTCTGATCGCATCCAGCGCCTTCATCCTGTACAGGTAGTTATAGCAGCCTGGCAAAGAGAAAACCCAAACTGAAAGCTCTGCAAACCACCGGCAGCGGGAGGGAGGTGGGGAAAGCGGATAGGAGCAAAGTGCAGAGACACCAGCTCGTATCAGCTTGCCAAACGCCACACTGCGACAGGACAGCCGACAAGAGAGGGCAGTGACGCGACTTGGCCCCAGGGGAATGATCTGCCATAGCGGGACAAGCACTGGACGGTGCCTGTGGTGGCCTCTGACTGACACGCAGTGAGAGAGGGTACCTTGTGCCTCCAGCTGCAGAAGCCTGCTGTCGTCCTCAGCCAACAACCGGGGCTCGTACTTGATGTCTTGCACCCTCGACAGTCGAATGTCGATTTCTTCCTTTAAATCCTACACAGTGGGGAAAAAGCCCCATGTTTACAGAGCACTGGCTTTGTTTGTGGGATCACAAGGATGATAACAGTCATGTCCTGGGGGCCCTCTGAAATAAACCCACTCCCTCTCTTAGCTGCCCATCACCACACCAAGGTGGCAGCTCCTGGAAACATCTGATTTTGAAGCAGACCCTGCCTGCCCCTCCAGGCATGGACAGGTCTGTGGGTGCGGGGAGGGAGGGCACGTCCCCACCGCGGGGCCATGTGCACCCACCTTGGGTGCATGCTGTCCGACAGGCACATGGGGGCCACGGCGGGACTTCATGGCGAAGCGCATGATCTGGCGTTTCACAAAGATGAACAGCAGCACGAAGACCTGGAGCCACAGCAGGGACAGAAGTTAGCCGCACCGAGTGGCACCCCAGGGGGGGTCTCACGGCCAGCCTGGGCCAGCCCCGCTGATGCCTGGTTCCCAACC